GGTTAAGTTTGGTTATTTCAATACAATTTAGTTGTTTCAGCCCCAGATTTAAAAAAAACACTGCACTTTACTAAGCATAATAATAATAATAATACATTTTAAAGCTGTAACATGTTGCAATCTGGTCAATATAATATGCACTTGGACTAAGAAGACAATTAGGTAACGGGTTATTGTGTTAGTACAAACATATAGGCTACTAAGAAGTTAAAATAATGTTAGTAACGAAAATGCTTGGGAAGTCGTTGTAAAACAGGCATTTTGAGCTTAAGGGACTTAGTACAAAACAACTACAACTCGCTAAGCAGTGCGCTCTATAGAAAATGCTCCAATACGCCATTTACTAATCACAATTAGGTAACGGGTTATTGTGTTAGTACAAACATATAGGCTACTAAGAAGTTAAAACAATGTTAGTAACGAAAATGCTTGGGAAGTCGTTGTAAAACAGGCATTTTGAGCTTAAGGGACTTAGTACAAAACAACTACAACTCGCTAAGCAGTGCGCTCTATAGAAAATGCTCCAATACGCCATTTACTAATCATCATCCCGGAGCAGCGCAGAGGAGGCGTGCAGGGAGCGACAACATGGCGGCTCTGGAAACACGATCACTGAAAAAGGCGAGCACTTCATGCAGCTTAAAGCCACGACGTTACCTAACATCCATTTTAACGAATGCAAGAAATAGATTACTTAAGGCATTATGGCATCGCACAACGACGATGTGAAACCTCAGCCGGGATGTTTTCTGCACACGACTCGTTTCCTGATCGCCACCTAAACAGGAAATGCGCTGCTTTTGTTGCAGCTCATATGCGGCTGTTATTGTGACGTAATACACTACTTCTTAAGAACATCTCTCATAATAGAAGTTTGACCTTTAAGAATTCCCGAAACACACATGAATATATATATAGATAGATAGAATGGTAGTTTTATCAACACGCATATGTAACGGATAATGATTGCAACAAACTATTTAATCACAATATATGACATTACAACACACAAGACTGTTCAAAATATTACTCTTAATAAGCAAATCCAGTAATAAACAGCACTGTGTAAATGCACCTTTAAGTTGGTTTGCCAACCGCCAATAAAATTTAAAGAAGAAGAAGAAGAAGAACAGCACTGTGTCCCCACATATGCCTTTGTGATGTCTTAATTTAGATTAAACTCGTAATTTGTCACATCATGCGTGTTGGGGGCCACGTAATTACGTCATGACGCAGAAGAAAAAGAATCACTGAATCGTTTATAACCGGTTCTTTTGAACGAACCGAATGAACACCTCAAAACACTGCTTTCATATTCCGGTGTTTGAGGCGACAAAAGCGCATCAAGGTTTTTAGTCGTCGGCGTGCATTTTAAAACACACGGCTGATGATGTAACGTTACTCTTACGGAGCTGAATCCGGTTTTCTGCGCACTGTGTAAATGCACCTTTAAGTTAGTTTGCCAACCGCCAATAAAATTTAAAGAAGAAGAACAGCACTGTGTCCCCACATATGCCTTTGTGATGTCTTAATTTAGATTAAACTCGTAATTTGTCACATCATGCGTGTTGGGGGCCACGTAATTACGTCATGACGCAGAAGAAAAAGAATCACTGAATCGTTTATAACCGGTTCTTTTGAACGAACCGAATGAACACCTCAAAACACTGCTTTCATATTCCGGTGTTTGAGGCGACAAAAGCGCATCAAGGTTTTTAGTCGTCGGCGTGCATTTTAAAACACACGGCTGATGATGTAACGTTACTCTTACGGAGCTGAATCCGGTTTTCTGCGATGATATTTTCCGGAAAGCCCGTGACCCCGCCCTGTGTGCGCTTTGTGCAGTGCTGCGAGGAGCATTGACGCCATCTTCTTGCGATTTTTGTGACGCGGCACGAGCTAATTTTGTATATAAAGCAACTCCGTGACAGGGCTCTTCTAAAACGCCGTGTTTCAGAGGTCCGCTGAGATTCAAGTATATGAAATGGTTAATGAGAGTTGGCGCCTTACTGTCGTCCACAAACAAACACGGTCGGATCTCCGGGTGCGCCGCTCTCCCCTCTCAGCTCAGAGCCCGCCCACATATGGAATACAGATGATGTCATCTGTAGCCAATCAGCGCCGAGAAAACAGGACAATACGCGTATTATTGGTCAAGGGCAATGTCATTCATTCTATTCAAGAAGGCCAGGGAGGGGGACGAGCGGAGAAAATCGCCATTTTGAAAGCGTAACAAAATGAACGATATATCGACGCTGAAATAATACCCTAGTTCCAGGACTGGTTGAAATGTAGCCCATCTTTATGTCCATCTATAATCTCAAACGTCCCGAGAGTTAAAACCTGAAGATGATTTAACTGGCGTAGTAGGCAATCCTGTGCGATACAACAGCTCGATTTAACTATCTCTTTAGTTTCGTTTTCCTTTCAATTGTACAAATTCGATGATCGGCGCGTCACATCGCAGTTTTCTGCTTTGTCTTGCTGTGTTTCTCCACTCCGCATTGCATAGCTCTTCAACAGCTAGTGGTTGTTTTTATAGCACAGACTGCGCATGCGCAGGAGGTTGCGGTTTAGATCCAGTTTAGTATGGGGGAGGGTGTTTGTATGTAGGTGAGTTGCTCGAATGAAGCCGTCTGGTTGAAGAGCAACATTTGGAGACCGTGCAACAATATATCAATGTATAGTATGTGTATATACACATATGATGTGTATATGTGCATTGTATCAGCATGAACTTGAGAAACTAGCTTTGAAGAGATCTCACAAAATGGGGAAAAAAGCAAAGTACAACAACAACAAGAAAAGAAAAGAAAAAGAGTGGGTTTCTCCGGAAATATTATATTTTCATTACACTCTGCAGATGTTTGTGTTTATACTTGTGGTCATCCCACTCCAGTTACCTTGAGCCAAAAACAAAAACAAAAAAAAATCTGCACTTGTATAAAGGGGTTACATAACAGATTTTGTATGTACTGTTTTGGGCCTCACAAGTAAGTGTTCATATTCAACCGTAGTAGGCAAAGACTTGTGTAGGCTGCCTTCTGCTTTGTTTTCACTCAATTCTTGTATATAGCTCTTATTATTTCATATATGTTTTGACATTTGGATACTTATAATGGGTGAAGGGATTCCATAAAAAAGGAAACACATGTAGGGCTGACGATAAGACTTCCACATCAGGAACCTATAAAAAAAGACAATTTTACCACGTACACATGCAGATACAAATTTGAAATTCTTATTTTATCATTCCAAAACACCCAGATATTGACGCAAAACACAAGGTCTTGGCATAATTGAAACTCTAGAAAACTCTAGAAAACACTTTTATTATTCCTTGTACTTAGGTTTGGGGATTCAGACAAACTTTGGGATCATTTTTGCTTGGACATGAATGTAACCTCAAATCATGTGACTTGCATTATATTAGGGTATGGAGGTTTTAGTTAATTAAGTGCATCAACTTGGTTTTTGAGGTTTGCTTGTTCTTTTTCTTTTTTGTATACAATGAAGTGGAGTTGTTAATGTAGTCCTATTCATTGGATGTTATTAGTAATTGATGGTCCTTCGCAGTGATTGGTCATTATGTCTTTTTAATGTGCTTGAGCTGGTAATTGTATGTTTAAATATACCTGATGAAGATCGCAAGACTGAAACGTCAATAAAAACTGTTTTTGATATTTTTGCAAGTACTGGTAGTGTGCAGGATTTAATTTTTTCCTTATTTCACTTTTTTTTTTTTTAATTTCAGTGTAAACACTACTCACATTAGTTATACTACAATACGACAAGTACTCGAAATGGGGCACTCTAACTTATTGTGGTAGTAGTTAGATTTGCAGCATATACATAAACCCAAATAGGAAATAAAACAGTTATCAAAAAAACGTGTCCTATTCTGTGTCCTAAACTCCTGAAACATTGGTGTCTCATATATTAGGGCAGTCACTGCAATTTATGAAAGAAATCAATTAAATAAAGATGTAACCCCCTTTGTAATCATTAACATTTTCATAAGTAACTGTAATTTAATTACACATTTTTTCTTAGTAACTGTAACTGATTACAATTACATTCATTTTGTAATTAAATTACATAATTTAGTTACATGTACTAACCAACACTGCTCACCATAATCGCAATATTTTTATCAATTATTTTTTCCCTTCCACGCATTCATCTCGTTGGGCTGAGCCTTCAGGCTTATTTGTAATCATTGACCACAAAACAACTCTGAAGTAGCATGGGTATATTTGTAGCAATAGCCAATATTGTATGGGTCAAAATTATCGATTTTTTCTTTTATGCCAAAAATCATTAGGATATTAAGTAAAGATCATGTTCCATGAAGACATTTTGTATTTCCTACCGTACATATATCAAAACTTAATTTTTGATAAGTAATATGCATTGCTAAGAACTTAATTTAGACAACTTTAAAGGCGATTTTCTCAATATTTTGATTCTTTTGCACCCTCAGATTCCAGATTTTCAAATAGTTGTATCTCGGCCAAATATTGTCCTAACAAACCATACATCAATGGAAAGCTTATTTTTGTTTGGTTTTGTGGTCTCGGGTCTCATATTTTCAATGAGACAATTGAACGATTAATTCTTAGCAGTTGTCCATTAAGTTAGCCGACCAGTAGGATTGCTGCACTGGTTTCAAAATACTTAATTGCATGATAGTTTTATTAACACGCATATGTAACGGAGTTGACTTAAATACCATTTTACTATGATAATGATTGCAACAAACTATTTAATCACAATATATAACGTCACATTACAACACACGACTGTAACAAATCCTGTAATAAACAGCACTGTGCCCCCACCCACATATGCCTTTGTGGGCAAATAATGTCCTGTCCTAACAAAGCATACATCAATGGAAAGCTTATTTATTCAGCTTTCAGATGCGGTATAAATCTCAATTTCAAAAACTGGACCCTTATGACTGGTTTTGTGGTCCATGCAGGGTCACATTTCTCCACAGAGGGCTGCAGTGGACTGTATGCTTGCCGCGGATGAACACTCTCTCCGCCCCTGAGGTTGTGCGCCGGACCGGGAAACCCCGCGGATCAGAGGCGGAGCGCGCAGTGACAGAGAGCCGGGGGTGAGCGGGGGAGGCGGAGCCACGGCACTTCTGCCAGGGCCGCCATTTTTGCACAGGGAAAAGAGACAGGATTGAAGGGATCCAGTTTCTAACTGTCGGCATAGATATGGACAAAATTGTCGGGTTTTAACAGTCTCTAACTGTACGTTTGGATTAGAGCACCACGAAGCGAAATACAAGTGCGAAACCGCGCGATTTGTAAAGCTTTGTTACACATCCGCAGTGGAGAGCGAAGTATTGTTTTGGTTGTGTGGTAGATCAGGCGGTGGGGTCTCACCCGAGTCACCCGTGTCTTTATTCACAGTTATTACAGTGGACATCAACGGTAAGTACCTGGCGTAATCCTACAGCTATCGGTTTGTTTATCAGAGGGGGTTGTTTGATGCTACTGGCTAAGTGACTTGCTGAAGAGTGTCCCATCCTTGTGTAGATGCTGAAACTGTGAGCTTGTGTTATTAGTTTGTTAAAATTAGATGTAATTACAACGTTGCTGTGCATTTGTCAACCCTCCTTTTGAGGTATAAATCCCACCTGGCTTGTTGTAAAGAGGGCAATCCGAGCAATGTGTGTCTGCGTGTGTACGACTTAATTTAGCAGCTAAGGTGGCTAGCTAGCTCACACCCACATTTAATGCCTCACAAAAGGAAAGATCTCAAATTGTAACGCTGTTTTATTGTGGTAGCAACCAGAAAAGCTGCACACGAGAGTAGCGGAAACTCGTTGTCGTTTCTCTTGCGTTGTTGGAAAGCTGCTAGCTACACCAGCAGTCACTGGAGAAATGCTAGCAAGTTAGCCAACCGACCAAGAAAGAAACCGCTCGAGACTTCAATAATCTCTTTACATGCTGGGATGTGCAACAAAAACTGCTTAAGAGTGTTTCCATTTTGGTGAACTCGTGGTCACGTCCCACGATACGTTGCTCCCGCCACTTATCTACAAATCTTGATGGCGATATGCACGTTTACAACTATTTACACGTGTTTTTGATGTGCATTTTAGAGAATGAGAGGTGTGAAATGTTTAAAAAGGCACGTTGTGCTCTGACAGAGCCTGCAACAACAGGGCTTTTGTTTACACCTCTCAACTCCGGCTAACCATTCACTAGGTCCACTCTTACCCCATACCTAGCCCACAAATACACTTTAAAGCCTATTGACTGACAGTGATTCTTAGTAGTAAGACCCTCTATAAATACGATGTGATTTTAGTCTTTTGTTTTTGGACTGGCTCTAATCGCTGCAGAGAATATGACTGACTTAGTACTGCTTAGCATGATATTGTGTCGATTTAGCGTAGAGGACATAAAATAAGCGCTTATTTAGTGTCTGTCTGGTGTGTTTTGTGTGGTTGTGTGCTGATAATGAGTGCTGCAGGCGTGGGGGAGGGGTTCGGGCTCGGTTCTTGTAGTCAGATCTGCTTTAGCTTCTCCTCAAAGTGGACCAGAACCGCGCTGCTTTACCAGCGAACTGCGCAGTTATGCCGTTTATAGTCAATAAACCGTCGTTTGACGCGTTTGTAGGCTTAGAACGATGTGTGTAAGATACTTATTACTGGAAATTTGATTTATGCCTCCATGTAAGGAAATTAAACTCTCCAGCGTATCATATCGATGCGCATTAGCATAGCAAGCTAAGCAGTTAGCTTCACCGACTAGCTGTTTGTGAGGATGTTGTTTAATTAACTTAGTCGACCCGACGCGGTTACTTTAGCTTTGTAGACGCGCTAACAGATCATTTAGTGATTTAAACGCAAAAAAAGTAGTTAAAACGCACTTTCCCCCAGATAATCGTGTGCATTGTGAGGTAAGCTGAGGTTGGCTAGTCGTCGTCAGTCAGAATCGCTAGCTACGCAGAAACGACGCAAACACTTTGTTCCAGCACAAAAACAGCGCATTTGACAAATAGATACTTAAGCATATGTGAAAAGGCGGGTTTCTTGTTATCTTGGCCGTTTTCAGTCAAATTTCAACGAGTCTTCGAGCGCAGTATTTCCTCTCAGGTGCTTAGTGAAAATGGCGGATGAGTTGATGTTGTGGTAATGAAAGCCTCCACACCCCTAGATCAGCTCTTACACACTGCAGCGCCAACACACTCACCCACGGGCAAGTGTTCAACACACACCAGAAAAATACAGTGCTGTGTTTCACCAAATATGATTATAGCCTGCGTCCACTGAACGCTTTAGCACATAAACCCAACCATATGAGTGTGTTAGATATGCACCCTTGTTGTTAAACCTGGATAAACCTTCATAAATTTGTACACGACACTCAAATCTCATCTAATTCGTGAAGCAAAGTATAATAAACGACCAGTAACAATCTGTTGTTGATGTCTTTACAGTGTTCAACCTTATATTTCTCCATTCAAATGGTAGTTTTCATATGGGATTAGAAGATAATTGTCGTCTTTACAAGGTAAAGTGTATTTAAGGCTTTTAAACATGAGGCTGATATTGGCAAGATGGCACACTGGAGTTAAGTAAAAGTATAAACATGCAGCCCTTTGTGGAAGGAACAATAGGGGATTTATTACTGGCACTCATCTTTGTTTCATAGTAGCACAACCTCAGACAATCTTAAATGTAGCTCAAACAGCTGATCTTGTTCCTCTCTGTTTTACAACACAATACAATACATTATAGGCCTGGTCGGTATGGTGATACGTGTACCGTTTCATCGATAGACATTTTTGCTATTACACGGTATGCAAGTATGGTCACAAGTGCTTGCCACGCTATAGCGATAAAGAAAAAATAAGAAAATGAAACTGAAAAAAATAAATAAATGCGGCTTGTCCGTTGAGTCCACAGTATGCGAATGAGTTTTATTTCACGGCTTATTGCGCTTGAACGTTCCGATAAACTGAGGCAGTTATGTCTTTAATCTATTTAAGACATTGCAATGTCTTAATAAAAATATATATAGGCTCAATACACACAATGAAGACTGTGCAGTGATTTTTTTAAATGTTTGATTTGATTTCTGTAGTATTTCTTACATGATGCTGTTAAATAGATCTACCGTATCTGAAAAACTTACTGCAATATATATTTTTTCAGTTGTCTGTCCTATATTGTTTCTCCTATTGTTATTTGCATCTTTGTTCTAATTTGTAATAAAGATGAAATAAAATAAAGTTAACTTCATTGTGAAGTAAAACGACTCATATTGCGAAATAAGAATTCCGTCATACCACCCACCTCTAGGAAATTGTTTTGTGACTTAGTATACCTTACTGGAAATTCATGACTGAAAGGCAGGGTTGTGTTGTACCAGAAACCTAGATGTGTGCATTGCCTCACCTAAAGTATTAACAGGAAACGAGATGTTTCTCGAGCTCGTGCACAACCATCTACATCTTAAAACTACTCGGCAATAACTGTTTTGGTTTAACAGCCACATTGAGCAGTACGACTTTATTTGAGGATGCCGTTGAGTTTACTGCAGTATAGAAAAGAGTGCAACCCACACGACTGTGTCATATTTCTCTCATGATTACTGCTCCCTCCCTCTGGTCAGCGGGGAGTTTACAGGTCCAGAAGAATGTGGTTATTCATCAGAGCGGTTAGATGGGGTAAACATGGGCCCTAATGCGTAATGAATAGACGATGATGCTGCAGAAAGGTAATCTTGATCTTGGATAGGAAGCAGGCGAGTGACTGCTCATGCGTGAACTGATAGCACATCATCGGGGGCTTCGGTTATCCAGCGGGTCAAGCCATCACGCTGCATATGAATGCTGATGTTTGAGTTTTATCACTCTTAATGTGTCTGGTTTCTTTCCCTCAGCCTGACCGACTGCATGACTGTGGAAAGTTTGCTGAAGTTCACCCATATAACTGTGTGGGCCTCGTCCTGTGTAGCATACGTTAAATTCATGTGTCTTCATCAATAGAAATCATTTACTTGCCGCCTTTGTTAACCGCAGCGCTGTTCCTATATCTTTGGTTGTGTTTAGAAGGGCTTTCGGTAATAAAAACCAAGGCGTTGCTCCAACAGCTTTCTGAAAATGCCAATTTTTGCATATTTCTTGTAGAAGCCAGTATGTGCTACATTTTTTTTCCCTTAGCCAAACTGTGAGACCGGCCTCTGTGGTGCAAACTTTGGCAGCCACGGGTGAGATGATGGTCTGAGATACTTGCCAAACACATGCTTTGGACCTTTTTCCTTCAGGACAGCACCATGGCTGAGATTCAAGATGGCCATTAAGAACGGATTTGCCATCTATTGTATAAAAGCTGATTTGCTCCACAAATACTGTATTTTTGTTTGAGGCACCTTTTTTTGCATGGAAAAGCTCGCGAGCCTGTGCTTGCCTGCAGATAACGAGAGGAGCAGACCATGTACAGTGCAGGCTGTGGCTTTCTGACAGGCGTTTCCTGTAGGTGGAGGTCCAATCATTGGCATGTAGTGGTGTGACATCACAGCGAGGCTGTGGAGCTGTGCAAAGAGGATGGAACATCAGCCTACGCACATCAACACACAGCTCACAACTCACACAGTGACACTAGAGGGAAGTGATCCACGCGGAGAATGAAGCAGAAGCACGCTTAGCTGCGCAAACCTGGTTTGTTTTTAAATGATAAACGTAGTGCATTTCAACTACTCTTGTCGTCTCATCTGACGGAAACATGGTGAATGAACTTGAAGAGTTCAGAATGAACACTTGACGGTGTCATGTTTTGCATAACCTGACTTTTTTAAGACAGGGATGCATGGAAAGGTGAAGGTTGTGTGACAACTGATATAAAAAGTGACTATTTTTATTGTACTAGGGCGTAATAAAGCTATTATTGTAGTAAATATTGACCTGAAAGATTAAAACGTGCAATTCCGATCAGCATAAACAGCTCGGCAGCAGCTGCATTCACCATCCTGTCTTATTCTTTGTCAGGTTGTCATGTCACACTCGCATTCTAGCCTCACTGCGCATGGGTGACTCGACGCTGTGTGTGTGTGTGTGTGTGAGGCCATGGGCAGTGTCTGTTTATTCTCTGTGTTGACAGAGGGATGGAGAAGTAAAGTACCCCCCCTCAAGAGAGATGGAGGTTTTAAAGTGAGAGAGAGGCAGGTGGCTCACAATCGCAGTCTCAAGTGACGCATCTTATGCTCGCCTTGCGCACACCGGGACACACACGCATGCTAAAACCTGACAAAACAAACTCCAAAGCCTGTTTGCTCAACACATAAACGTAAAAGATAGCATGTTTTTATATTTATCCAGCTGAGGTGTGGTTAAGCTCGTATGCTGGTAGCTGGTTCCACCGGGAGGCCTGTTAGTGCCGTAAGGTCACGTGAGAGATGTGCAGGGAGGAGCTGTGGGC